ACCCTCGCACATCTAATAACCCCAGTTTGGTGGGTCTAATATACATTCACAAATAGGTGATGATATTTATACAATTATTAAAATTTATTGCATAACAGTAAAATCTTCTATTTTTTGGTGTGAATAAAAAATTCATTATGTGAATAAAAAATCAAAATGGAATTTATTTGTAAAGCCTCAAAACATAACTAATGAACAGAGGAAATGTTAGTTTAGTGCCAGGAATACCTACATTGTTCATTCTGGACCCTATTTTGAAATTGGAATATTTTGAACTTTGTGTTAAATTGGCCAAATACCAATTTCCGATCACTTTATTTTGTAGTTGAAACAGTTGACTTGGCGATTTCTTGTGCTCAATCGATAGAATAGAAGTAATACTAGTGAAATAGCTAAGAATTGGTTGATTCGAATAATGTAATTGGCCTATAAATGGGAGTCAAAGTCGGCAAAATCGCCGATTCGTAAATATCGCTGACACATCAAAATTCGCGAGAGCATAATTTCGTCAATTTTCCACCAAATTTCGTACTTTTTGTTTTATTACCTTCACAAAAAGATTCTCTACGATTTCATAAGAAAAAATAACAAATTTTTTTTTTTAAAATTCTTGGACACTGGTGCGTGACTCCAGATTTGGGCCTTGGACCCTGAAAGGGTTAATATTGTTTATTATGTCATATTAGATGAATTGTGATAGATAAATAAGCCATGGAATATAGTTATTCTCAATAAAGGTATTTTTTGTTTATACTTTTGGGTGTCTGAAATGGATTAACCCTTTGACTGTTTCAGGCCCCTCTCTGAAACTGTCATTCTATGTCACTCAATTTTTGAAAAAAAAAAAAATTATTTTTTCTTATGAAATGATAGAGAATCTTTTCCCGATGGTAATGACACCAAAAGTTCGAAATTTGGTCGAAAACTCGTGGAATTATGCTCCCGCGAAGTTAGCGGTCTCGGCGACATATGCGTATCGGCGATTTCGCCGACTTTGAGCCCTATTTTCAGCCAATTCCATTGTTCCAATTGACCAAACTCATAGCTATTTCTTTAGAACTCCATTTTTATCTATCAGCTGAGTACAAGAAACCTCCCATTTACTAATTTGGACTACCCAATATGGTGGTCAGAAATTGGCAATTTGGCCAATTTCACGCAAAATAAAAAAGATGCCAATTTCAAAATAGGGTCCAGAATAAACAAGGTAGACATTCGTGGCACTAAAATAACATATGCTCTGTTCATTAGTCACATCTCTAGGCCCCTCTTATATTATTATTGCTTTCTATTTTGATTTTTTATTCAAACCAAAAAATACAAAATTTACTGTTATGCAGACGACTGCATTATTGTAAAAATGGTATAAATAATATCGTGCAACTAGTGAAGGAATATTAGACTCCCCAGTTGATGTGTATTGGTCGTGTGGTGTGATTTATTTACTCTTGAACATTGGTAAAAATCGAACATTTCCGCTACTTTGAGCTCAGTTTCAAGGTCGTTTTCATCGTAAAAGTAATGGAAATCATCTCTATTTCTGTAATATGTTTTCCATTTTATCACCTAAGACCATGAAAACGCGAATACAACGATAAATACTATACGAAAATACACCTCAAAGTCGGCGTTTTATTCCAAAAAAACGATCAGTTTTTTTTTTCTCATTACGCAATGTGTGCTGCAGGATTTTTTTTATGTGGTGCACACTGACCACACAGACCCATTCTCTCACATATGGGCCTACCAGCTTTCTCCCACTTGATTTGAAGCCGCTAGAATTATTGAGTATATATACGTCAGAAACATTGGCTCGTAAGACGTATTTATACGTCGAAAACAGTCAAAGGGTTAATTGGATTTATATTATGTATTTCTCATGGGGAAAATGGTTTCAGTTTTCATGAATTTCACACTTCATCAGACTCACTTGAATGAATTAATCACAGAAAGGGAGGATCCATTGTACTGTACAGTATATGTATTTTATCACTCTGGGGCACTTTATGAACCCCTTGACTGTTGCAACCCCCAAATCCTGATGTGTCTCCTGGTGTCGAAAAAATTTTGAAAAAAAAAAAAATTTTTTTTTCTTATGAAATGATAGAGAATCTTTTCCCGATGGTAATGACACCAAAAGAACGAAATTTGATGGAAAACTTACGGAATTACACTCGCAAAGTTAGTGACCTCGGCAATATTTACGAATCGGCAATTTCACCCACTTTGAGCTCTATTTTCGGCTAATTTCATTGTTCCAGTCGACCAAACTCATAGCTATTTCTTTAGAACTCCATTTGTTCTATCAATTGAGTACAAGAAACTACCCATTTACCAATTACAATTACCCAATAACATGGTCAGAAATTTGCAATTTTGCCAATTTCATGAAAATTAAAAAATGACAATTTCAAAATAGGGTCCAGAATGAACAATGCAGATATTCCTGGCCCTAAAATAACATTTTCTTTGTTCATCAGTCACGTCTCCAGGCCCCTCTGATATTACTCTTGCTTTCTATTTTGAATTTTTATTCAAATAAAAAATAGAAGATTTACTGTTATGCAGACTACTGCAATATTGTAATAATTGTATAAATAATGTCAACCCATTCATGACTGCATATTAGAATGAATAGTTGGACATTTATTGGACAATGACATCATTTGTTTACTTTTGAACATCAGGAAAAATCAAACATGTCCCCTACTTTGAGCTTCATTTCAAGGTTCTTTTCATAGTAAAACCAATCAAAATCATCTCTATTTCTATAATATGTTTTCCATTCTATCAAATGAGACCAAGAAAACAGGAATATAACCATAAATACTATACGAAAATACACTACAAAGTCGACGTTTTAATCCAAAAATACGATCAATTTTTTTCTCATGCACTGCGTGCTGCAAGATTTTTTATATATGGTGCACATAGACCCATTCTCTCACATGTGGGCCTACCAGCTTTCTCCTGCTTGATTTGAAGCCGCTAGAATTTTTTAGTATATATACGTCAAACACAGTGGCTTGTAAGACGTATATATACAACCGAAACAGTCAAAGGGTTAAGTGTCGTATATTACGTGTGGGTGGGATGGGCTGCCCTGGCTGGCTACCATACTTCCCACACCTGACTTCCTACAAATAAATATGACACACCTCTCACCCTACATTAAGACTACAAATATTTTAAGGTAAGTAATGGGTGTACTGTGTGTGTATTTTCCTTTTTATTATGCTTTTTAATGCCTAGTTCTATTACTGACTTAATATAAGTTAGTGTAAACTTGTTGTCTGGCATTACTAAGTGGAAAAAATGGCGTTCCACTTTAAGGTAATTTCCGCTTTAACTCTTGGAGGGTCCAGAGGCCAAATCTCAGTGTGACAGCCAGGATCCAAAAATTTAAAAAAAAAAAAATTTTTTTTTTATTTTTTCTTATGAAATGGTAAAGAAATTTTTTTTCTGAAGGTAATAAAACAAAAAGTACGAAATTTGATGGAAAACTGACAAAATTATGCTTTCGTGAATTTTGCTTCATCAGCGATATTTACGCATCGACGATTTTGCCGACTTCGACTCCCATTTTAGGTCAATAACATTCCAGTCAATCAAATTCTTAGCTATTTCACTAGTATTACTTCTTTTTATTGATTAAGCACTAGACATCTCCCAATCAATTGTTTCAACTACTCAATAAAGTGATTGGAAATTAGTAATTTGGCCAGTTTAACACAAAGCTCAAAATATTCCAGTTTCAAAATAGGGTCCATAATAAACAATGCAGGCATTCCTGGCATTAAACTAAAATTTCCTCTGTTTATTAGTTACATCTCCAGGCTTTACAAGTGGATTCCATTTTGTTTTTTTTATCCACATAATTAATTTTTATTCGCGCTAAAAAATAGATTTATTGTTATGTAATATTGTAATAATTATATAAATACATGTAATAGCATATTCATGAACATATATTAGACCCACCAGCTGACGTGTATTAGATGCGTGACGACATTTGTTTACTCCTGAACATCAGCAAAAATTGAACATTTCCTTTATATCAAGCTCAGTTTCAAGCCATTTTCAGTACTAAAACCAGTCAAAATCATCTCTATTTCTGTAATATACAGTGGACCCCCGGTTAACGAACCTTTTTCATTCCAGTAGTATGTTCAGGTGCCAGTACTGACCGAATTTTTTCCCATAAGGAATATTGTGAAGTAGATTAGTGAATTTCAGACCCCCAAACATACACGTACAAACGCACTTACATAAATACACTTACATAATTGGTCGTATTTGGAGGTGATCGTTATGCGGGGGTCCACTGTATATTCCATTCTATCAAATGAGACCACTAATACAGCTGTAAAAAAAAACATACGAAAAAACACCATTAAGTCGCTGTTTTAATCCAAAAATATGGTTGCAATTTTTTTTTTCTCATTATGTACTACATGCTGCAGTATTTGTTATATGTGGTGCACACTTACCACATACATGCATTCTCTCATATCTAGGCCCAAATTTACCACTTACAGCTTATCTGAGTGACCTGAGCTCAAGCCGTAGTTCTACGGCTTGGACCCAGGCTTCAAAGCTGTAGAACTATGGGACGGACCCTCAAAGGGTTAAGGCGTTAGCCTGGAACCTAACCTGCCATATGAGTGGAGCCCAACTGTATCTGAACATTTTCACTTCTTCCATGCTCCCTCCCTCCAGTGTGATATCCAGTTTTTCTTTTATCCAAATCGTGTGATACCCTCATCACCTTACTCTTATCTATGTTCATTTTCAACTTTCTACCCTTACACACCCTCCCAAACTCGTCCATGAACCTTTGCAACTTTTCGTTAGAATTTCCAAAACTCGCAGTATCATCAGCAAAAAGTAACTGTGTCAACTCCCATTTTGTATTTGATTCCCCATAATTTAATCCCACCGCTGTCCCACAACACCCTGGCATTTACTTCTTTAACATCCCTCTCTATAAATAAGTTAAACAACCATTGTGACATTACACATCTCTAAGACCTACATTTACTGGGAGGTAATCTCCCTCTCTCTTAAACTAACCTGAGCCTCAATATCCTTGTAAAAACTCTTTACAGCATTTAGTAACTTACTCCCCTCAAGGAAGGTTCCTTGATGTTGGTGAGGGGCTCTTGATTTAGGGAATTGGATCTGTGCTCCAGTTCCCCGAATTAAGCCTGAATGCCTTCCACATCCCCCCCCCCAGGCGCTGTATAATCCTCCGGGTTTAGCGCTTCCCCCTTGATTATAATAATAATAATAACTTACTACCTATTGCATAGACTTGCAACATCTGCCACATTACTCCCTTATCCACTGTATCATATGCATTTTCTTAATCCATAAATGCAATAAAAACTTCCCTACCTTTATTTAAATACTTTTCACATACATGCTTCAGTGTAAACACTTGATCTACACATCCCCTACCCATTCTAAAGCCTCCTTGTTCATCTGCAATCCTGCTTTCTGTCTTACCTCTAATTCTTTCAATAATAACCCTACCATACACTTTACCTGTTATACTCAGTAAACTTATTCCCCTATAATTTTTACAATCTTGTCCCCCTTCCCTTTATATGAAGTAACTATTTATTTATTTTAACCAAACTGTATATCTTTATTCTTAATGTTCATTTAAAAAATAAGCATATTTCTTTAACGTTACAATGATAAATTTGTCGAGAAGGGAGAGTACCTTGACTTCATTGCCACTGGCATTTGCCTTAGTGTTTACTGTAGCTTCACTGAAGATAATTTATTATTTTTTTATTAACACATTGGCCATCTCCCACCAAGGCAGGTGCCCCCCCCCCAAAAAAAAAAAAAATATCATGATTCACTCCATCACTCTCTTGCCAGAAGCGTGCTTACCCTACAGTTATAAAACCAACATTAACACCCCTCTTTCAGAGTGCAGACACCGTAATCCCCCATCTCCAGGACTTGAGTCCGGCCTGTTGGTTTCCCTGAATCCCTTCATAAATGTTACCTTGCTCACACTCCAACAGCATGTCAAGTCCTAAAAACCATTCGTTCCTATCAAACACGCTCACACATGCTTGCTGGAAGCCGAAGCCCCTCGCACACAAAACTTCCTTTACCCTCTCCCTCCAACCTTTCCTAGGGCGACCACTACCCTGCCTTCCCTCTACTACAGATTTATATATCCAAGTTACCCTATTTTGCTCCATACTCTAAATGTCCAAACCACTTCACAGCGCTCTGGATAATACTTAGTAACTCTGCACTTCCTAATTTCCAAGCTACGAATTCTCTGCATAATATTTACACCACACATTGCCCTCAAACATGACATCTCCACTGCCTCCAACCTCCTCCTCCACTGTAACATTCACAGCCCTGCTTCACATCCATATAAGAGTGTTAGTACCACGATACTCTCATACATTTCCTCTCTCTTGACTGTTTCCACAGATGCCTCAGTGCACCCCCCCCCTCCCATTTTTCCTTCATTATTTCTGTGGATCACCTCATCTTTCATATACCCATCTGCCAACAAGTCCACTTCTAAATATCTGAACACATTCACTTCCTCTAGTATATATCTTCATCTTTTGGGGATTCATTTTTGTATACCTTACAATACATTACTGAATCTTACTAAAGTAAGAATCGAGGCATTGATTCCCCAGTGCTGTTATTAAACATGAATTTCTGTTTATATACAAGCATTTACTTGGTTTGTTTAATCTATATATTTTGGAAAGTAGAGGACAATGTTGTAATTAATGTTTCTGATGACCCCATTTTTTTTTTATTTCAGGTATCTGAATTAAAGCGAATCAATAAGATAATACAAGAAAAAGAATTTTATGCTTTGAAATCTTTGAAAATACCAGTGAAGGCAAACTCGGTTCTTGCAGAAATGTTGAAAGAAGAGGAACAGCAACAGTGCACTTATAGTGAGAAGAAGACTATTGCTAATACTAGGGCTACAATTTTAGGTACAAGAAGTATAAGTAGTTGTAGTGAATACGAGAGTGATTCTGAAATGCACGTAGGCTACATTAGTATTGATCGCATTTTAAAAGACACGCGAACTAAGAAGGAAGCAATGAGGTTTCTTAATTCGATGCAGAAAGACTTGGCTAACATCCGCGAGAAAACCAATTTTTACAAAGGTTCTCTCGATGAAGTTGCTGCAGTTCTAACTGACCCACGATTCCATCCACTTCAACAGACAGAGGATAAGTGCACTGGAGCAGACTGGGGAATCACTTGGTGGAAAGTTTTGCTTGCAGGGATAGTGATTCTTGTTGGAATTCCTTTATTATACATTTATATTTATCTTGAGAAGAGGTAAGCTAAGGTAGCAAAAGTTTGTCAAGTGTTGGCTCCACCTGAATAAAAGTTTTATCCTGGTTGCTGACTACGTTAGACAATATCTTGTGTGATACAGTAAGAAGAGGTTATATTTTGCAAAGCAAATAATACCTTTTACTGCTTTGGGCAGGGCACATGCTTTGATGGAGAACCTTGTATATATAATTTACTGTTACGCAGACTACTGTAATATTGTAATAACTGTATAAATAATGTCAACCCATTCATGACTGCATATTAGAATGGCTACTTGGACATTATTGGAAAATGACATCATTTGTTTACTTTGGAACATCGGCAAAAATCAAACATTTCCCATACTCTGAGCTCCATTTCAAGGTTCTTTTCATAGTAAAACCAATCAAAATCACCTCTATTTCTATAATATGTTTTCCATTCTATCAAATGAGACCATGAAAACGAGAATACAACCATAAATACTATACGAAAATAGACCACAAAGTCGGAATTTTAATTATAAAAAAAAAAAAAATAAAAAAAAACACACGAGTTTTTTTCTCACGCACTGTGTGCTGCAGGATTTGTTTTTTATATGGTGCACACTGACCACACAGACCCATTCTCTCACACGTGGGCCTACCAGCTTTCTCCTGCTTGATTTGAAGCCACTAGAATTTTTGAGTACATGTATATATACGTCAAACACTGTGGGTTGTAAGACGTATATATACGACCAAAACAGTCAAAGGGTTAATATCATCAATAGGTTCTTGGAAACTGCGACTTTAAGGAAAACTATGTAAAATGAAACCAATTTTACCATAGGCTGACCCTTGTAGGTTTAGCACATTTTTGATAATTTACCATAGGCTAATTGATATAAACATCAGATGCACAGTACAGGGTTAAATCAAGGAATAAATGTTTGCAAAGCAAAAATTGTAATGAGCACCTCCTACCATATAGTTCAAAAATGAATGCGCAAACTTCATACAGACAGTGGAACCGTTATAACGAAACAACAATAAGTGAGGACTGTACTAGGTTTACCTGGAGAGAGTTCTGGGGGGTCAATGCCCCCGTGGCCCGGTCTGTGACCAGGCCTTATGGTTGATCAGAGCCTAATCAACCAGGCTGTTACTGCTGGCTGCACGCAATCCAATGTATGAGCCACAGCCCGGCTGGTCAGGTACCGACTTTAGGTGCTTGTCCAGTGCCTGCTTGAAGACAGCCAGGGGTCTATTGGTAATCCCCCTTATGTATGCTGGGAGGCAGTTGAACAGTCTCGGGCCCCTGACACTTATTGTATTGTCTCTTAACGTGCTAGCGACACCCCTGCTTTTCATTGGGGGGATGTTGCATCGTCTGTAGAGTCTTTTGCTTCCGCTGCGAGTGATTTTCGTGTGCAAGTTCAGTACTAGTCCCTCTAGGATTTTCCAGGTGTATATAATCATGTATCTCTCCTGCCTGTGTTCCAGGGAGTACAGGAACTTCAAGCGCTTCCAGTAATTGAGGTGTTTTATTTATGTTATGCGCGCCGTGAAGGTTCTCTGTACATTTTCTAGGTCAGCAATTTCACCTGCTTTGAAAGGTGCTGTTAGTGTTCAGCAATATTCCAGCCTAGATAGAACAAGCAACCTGAAGAGTCATCATGGGCTTGGCATCCCTAGTTTTGAAGGTTCTCATTATCCATTCTGTCATTTTTCTAGCAGATACGATTTATACAATGTTATGGTCCTTGAAGGCGAGATCCTCCGACATGATCACTCCCGGGTCTTTGACATTGGTTTTTCGCTCTATTTTGTGGCCGGAATTTGTTTTGTACTCTGATGAAGTTTTAATTTCCTCGTGTTTACCATATTGGAGTAATTGAAATTTCTCATTGTTGAACTTCATATTGTTTTCTGCAACCCATTGAAAGATTTGGTTGATGTCCGCCTGGAGCCTTGCAGTGTCTGCAATGGAAGACACTGTCATGCAGATTCGAGTGTCATCTGCAAAGGAAGACACAGTACTGTGGCTGACATCCTTGTCTATGTCAGATATGAGGATGAGAAAACAAGATGGGAGCGAGTACTGTGCCTTGTGGAACAGAGCTTTTCACTGTAGTCGCCTCAGACTTTACTCTGTTGGCTACTACTCTTTGTGTTCTGTTTGTGAGGAAATTATAGATCCATCTACCAACTTTTCCTGTTATTCCTTTAGTACGCATTTTGTGCGCTATTATGCCATGGTCATACTTGTCGAAGGCTTTTGCAAAGTCCGTATATATTACATCTGCATTCTTTTTGTCTTCTAGTGCTTAGGTGAGGGATCCATACAAGTTTCAGTATTTTATGTTTGAAGACAGTCTGTGGTGATCATTCTCATTGTGTGATGAGTTTATACACTTGCATATGTATGATGCCTACAGAAAATTTAATATACTACCAAAAAAAAAAAAATCTTTAGATAATAGATGTGTGCTAAACCAGGATTCATACACTATCTGTGGAATAGGAGGTAATAAGGTTTGATCAAATGTAGGGTAATTTTCTTGGATCAAGAGTCTTCTACCAGCATAGACCCCGGGTAAACTCCAGACCCTGGTGGTTTAGCAGTAGATCATGGCTATCCTAAAATCATGTATACCTAGAGAAGGTTTTGGGGATCAGTGCCCCCATCTGAGTCCAGGTACTAAGATATATATTGTGCCCCCATCTGAGCCCAGGTACTAAGATATTATTTTTTTCACTTTAACTATTTCTTAGATTGAGTTTTTTTTATTTTAAAATTTATTAATACTATTTCTAAGGTGCAGTACTGTGCTTAGATTGTAAATATCCAAGGAATTATAACCCTTTTCATTATTACTATTTTTTTTATCGTAACATCCGTCTCCTACCAAGGTAGGATGACCCAAATTATCATAATCATCTTATGGGAAGCACTAAACCCATAAGTATTATACAGCACTGTAGCCTCCTCTTCAGCTTTAGGTATTGTATCATTCCATTTTATGAATGCTATACAAGTAATTTTGTATTTTGGATGTTTGTATATCTTAAATTATGTCATTTTTACTGAAGTAAAATAGAGAACATTGTCTGTATAGACTTTAAAATATATATACTATATGTACCCAGCATATTGTTATTGTAAAATTTATTTATGTACCATATAGTAAATTCTTCCATTATAAGAGGCTTGTATTTTGAGGTCTGGTACACCTGGTTCCCCCATTTAGTTGGGAACAAATGTGGTGATAAATATATAAAATTGTAGCATTTATTTTTATATTAATATATTTTATGATTAATTGCAAGTTTTACTCTGTACCTGTGTGCAATGTTGAGTTATGTATAGTATATTGAGAGTAATACAGTGGATGAAGAATTGTTTCCAAAGTAATCTGGCTAGGAACTTCAGCATATGTCTGAATTTTAAGAGTACTTTTGTTTTTATTTTAAAATACATTAATAAGAACATAAGAAAGAAGGAACACTGCAACAGGCCTACTGATCCATGCGAAGCAGGTCCATACACCCCCCCCCTGCCTAGAACAATGACCACCTAGTCAGGTCACTTCCACTTCAGGAAGGAGCACAGCACCAGGCCTGGTAGCCCAAGCTATTCAGATCCAACTCGCACCCACCCACACCCACTCGCGTATTTATCCAACCTATTTTTAAAACTACACAAGGTCTTAGTTTCTATGACGGTACTCGGGAGTTTGTTCCACAACTCTATTACCAAACCAGTGCTTTCCTATGTCCTTCCTGAATCTGAACTTTTCTAGCTTGAAACGATTGCTGCGAGTCCTGTCTTGGCTGGATATTTTCAGCACTCTATTTACATCCCCTTTATTTATTCCTGTTTTCCATTTATACACCTCAATCATATCCCCCCTAATTCTACGCCTTTCTAAACAGTGCAGATTCAGGGCCCTCAGTCTATCCTCGTAGGGAAGATTTCTGATACATGGGAATAACTTTGTCATCCTCCTCTGTACGTTTTCCAGTGCATTTATATCCATTCTGTAATATGGTGACCAGAGCTGTGCAGCATAATCTAAATGAGGCCTAACCAAGGATATATAGAGTTGAAGAACAACCTGAGGATTTCTATTATTTATACTTCTTGATATGAAGCCAAGGATTGTGTTAGCTTTATTGCAAACACTTATACACTGTTGTCTTGGTTTCAGATTACTGCTAACCAGAACTAAACCCTTTACACAATCAGAAGTATTAAGATCTACACTATTCAGTTTGTAAGTGGCATGGTTCTAGTCCTGTCCAACATTTAGCACTTTGCATTTGTCTATATTAAACTGCATCTGCCACTTCTCCGACCACTGCATCAGTGTATTCAAATCATCCTGGAGTGCACTAATGTCCTCAATAGAATGAATTGGACAGCCTATTTTGGTGTCATCAGCAAATTTGCTTATGTTGCTATTTATTCCCTCATCTATGTCGTTTATGTAAATTGTGAACAACAAAGGGCCCAACACTGACCCCTGTGGAACACCCACTTGTGATGTGCCCCCATTCTGATTTCTCCCCATTTATGCAAGCTCTTTGCTGCCTATTTGTAAACCATGCCTCTACCCAGGAAAAAGTTTCTCCTATTCTGTGTGCCTTAAGTTTCCTCAAAAGTCTCTGATGTGGAACTCTGTTGAAAGCCTTACTGAAGTCCATATACACAATATTATAATCATTACCAAGATCTACCTCCTCAAACACCTTAGCGAAAAAAGTTAGTAAATTCGTAAGACAGGAACGCCCTTTAGTAAAACTGTTGAGATTCATTTATCATTTTATGCCTATCAAGATGGCAATTGATTCCATAAATTTTCCCGCTATGGAGGTAAGGCTTATTGGTCTATAATTCGAAGCTAAGGACCTGTCACCTGCCTTGTAAATAGGTACAGTGGTCCCTCGTTTTTCGTAATTAATCCATTCCTGGAGGAGCTACTATAAATGAAATTTACGATTTGCAAATCAATTTTCCCCATAAGAAATAATGTAAATACAATTAATCCGTTCCTGACACCCAGAAGTATTAAAACAAAAATTTTTTTTACATGAAATATACATGTAGTACATAACAATACAATGGGAAATGGTGAATGAAACATTAACAGCATAACACTTACCTTTATTGGAGATTCTTCTTAGTGTATGGGAGACTGGAGGAGGAGAGAGAGTGGATTATTTATAGTTTGGAAGGTTAATTCCCTTCCAGCAACACCTCAAGTACCAATTGCTTTTCTGGGGTTACTTCTCTTCTCTGTTTCTTAATGCCACTAGGACCACCGTGAGAGTCACTGGAGTCCTGTCTCGCAAAATAACTGTGGAGAGAGCTCTGTTTCTGGCGTCTCCTTAACACTTCCCTAAAATGGCCCAAGACTTTGTCACTGTACATGTTGCCAACATGGCTTGCAACAACCTTGTTAGGGTGATGTTCTCCATAAAGCTTTCCATCTTAGCCCACATAGTAAAAATCTCTTTAATTTCTGAAGAAGGCACCTTCTTCATCTCTCTTCCTCCTCCTCTGCAGCAAGATTCTGAGCTGTGATCTGTTGCTCTTCCTGCTGAAGCTCTTGCAGCTCCTCAGTGGTGAGCTCTTCGTTGTGGTCTTCCACCAATTCTTCCACATCCTCCAAACTCACATCCAACCCCATGGAACTCCCCAGTGCCACAATTGATTTTACAACAGACATAGGCTCATCAGGGTCAGTCCCAAGCCCTTCAAAATCCCTCTTGTCGACACAATCTGGCCACAATTTTCTCCAGGCAGAGTTCAAAATCCTGGTAGTCACTCCCTCCCAAGCCATACCTATAAGGGTTATGCAATGGAGGATGCTGAAGTGTTCTCTCCAAAATTCCCTTAGGGTCAAGTGAGTGTCTGTGGTCACAGTCAAGCACCTGTGAAACATTGCTTTTGTGTAGAGTTTTTTAAAGTTTGCAATGACCTGCTGGTCCATGGGCTGGAGGAGAGGAGTGGTATTCGGGGGCAAGAACTTTACTGTGATGAACCCAAACTCCTCAAAAATTAGGTCATCCAAGTTTGCAGGATGAGCAGGTGCATTGTCCATTACTAGCAGGCACTTGAGATCCAATTTCTTTTCCAGGAGATACTCCTTCACACTAGGGCCAAACACTTCATTGAACCACGCAACAAAAATTTCCCTCGTGACCCATGCCTTACTATTACAATGCCTGCACTATTAGAAAGTAGGGGTTTGGGATATTGGCTGTTTGGAGGGGTATGTTATACATCTTTATATATATGCTTTTAAGCTGTTGTATCTGGGCACCTCTGCAAAGACGGTGATTATGTGCGAGTGAGGTGAAAGTGTTGAATGATGATGAAAGTATTTTCTTTTCGATCCAAACCAGTGCCTTGAAAGGATCAACTTCCTGGCAGCCGAAGCATGTTCTAGGCATATTCCCTTAAGAAAGAAGAGCAGGAGTAAACTGGAGAGAGAAAGACGCTCCCTCTACAGAAGACGACGAAGAGTCACTGAGCTCCTCAGGAGTGCTAGAATATCTGATACACGAAAGGAGGCGCTAACCAGGGAAGTGGAAACTATCGAACTTAAGTTAAATGACTCTTACAGGAACCAGGAGAGACAGGAGGAGCTTAAAATTATTAGTGAAATTGAAAGAAATTCAAAATATTTCTTTTCACATGCCAAAAACAAGGCAAATACCACATCTAGTATCGGGCCCTTACTCAGACAGGATGGGACTTAAACAGATGACAACAAGGAAATGAGTGAAATATTGGAATCCCAGTACGACTCTGTGTTTAGTGAACCACTAATCGGTCTGAGGATCGATGACCCAAATGATTTCTTCATGAATGAGCCTCAAAACTCCATAAATGTATGCCAGATTTCCGACATTACCCTAACTTTGATAGATTTCGAAAAAGCCATTGACAACATGCCCATGCACTCAGCCCCGGGCCCAGACTCGTGGAACTCTGTTTTTATTAAGAACTGCAAGAAACCCCTCTCGCGTGCCCTAAGTACACTATGGAGGGGAGCTTGGACATGGTGAAATTCCACAGTCACTTAAAACAACGGATATAGCCCCACTCCATAAAGGTGGCAGCAAAGCATTAGCTAAGAACTATAGACCAATAGCTCTGACGTCCCACATCATAATCTTTGAAAGAGTGCTAAGAAGCAGGATTGCAAATCACCTGGATTCCCAAAATCTGCACAATCCAGAGCAACATGGGTTCAGGGCAGGTGGCTCCTGCCTCTCACAACTACTGGATCACTATGATATGGCCTTGGATGCACTGGAAGAAAATCATAATGCATTTGACAAATGCGATCATGGTGTAATAGCCCATAAAATACATGCTAAAGGAATAACTGGGAAAGTGGGGAGATGGATCTTCAACTTCCTAACAAATCGAACACAAAGAGTAGTGGTCAACAGAGTTAAATCGGAGGCTGCCATAGTGAAGAGCTCTGTTCCACAAGGCACAGTACTCGCCCCCATCTTATTCCTTATCCTCATATCAGACATTGACAGAGATATACATCACAGCACCGTATCATCCTTTGCGGATGATACTAGGATCTGCATGAGGCTGTCATCTGCTGAGGACGCGGTTAACCTCCAAGAAGATATAAATAAAGTTTTCCAGTGGGCAACGGTAAACAATATGATGTTCAATGAGGACAAATTCCAACTACTCCGTTATGGAAAACTGGAGGAGATAATAACTAGAACAGAGTATACTACAGACTTTGGCCATACAATAGAGCGGAAAAATAATGTAAGGGACCTGGGAGTAGTAATGTCTGAGGATCTCACTTTCAAGGATCACAACAGTGCCACGATCGCACGTGCAAAGAAAATGACAGGATGGATAATGAGAACGTTCAAAACGAGAGATGCCAAGCCAATGATGATCCTTTTCAAATCACTTGTTCTCTCTAGGCTGGAATACTGCTGTACATTAACATCTCCATTCAAAGCAGGTGAAATCGCAGATCTAGAGAGTGTACAGAGATCCTTTACTTCACGTATAAGTTCTGTCAAGCACCTTAACTACTGGGAACGCTTGGAAGCACTTGACTTGTACTCGTTGGAACGCAGGTGGGAGAGAGATATCATAGTCTACACTTGGAAAATCTTGGAAGGAATGGTCCCAAATCTGCACACAGAAATCACTCCCTACGAAAGTAAAAGACTGGGCAGACGATGCAAAATGCCCCCAATAAAAAGTAGGGGCGCCATTGGTACACTAAGGGACAAACACCATAAGTGTTTGTCCATTAGGGGAATTGCCAATAAACCCCTGGCTGCCTTCAAGAGAGAGCTGGACAGATACCTAAAGTCAGTGCCGGATCAGCCGGGCTGTGGCTCGTACGTTGGACTGCGTGCGGCCACCAGTAACAGCCTAGTTGATCAGCCCCTGATCAATCGGGAGGCCTGGTCATGGACTGGGCTGCAGGGGCGTTGATCCCCGGAATAACCTCCAGGTAATCACCCTGCCTAGGTGGGAGACGGCCGACTTGTTTATTTTTTTTTTTTTTTAACAAGTCGGCCGTAAGGCAGGGGCGACCCAAAAAGAAAGAAAATACTTTCATCATTCGACACTTTCACCTCACTCACACATAATCACTGTTTTTGCAGAGGTGCTCAGAACACAACAGTTTAGAAGCATATACGTATAAAGATACACAATATATCCCTCCAAACCACTAATATCCCGAACCCCTCCTTTAGAGTGCAGGCATTGTACTTCCCATTTCCAGGACTCAAGTCTGGCTATATAAAAATAACCAGTTTCCCTGAATCCCTTCACTAAATATTACCGTGCTCACACTCCAACAGTTCGTCAGGTCTCAAATACCATTCGTCTCCATTCACTCCTATCGAACACGCTCATGCACACCTGGTGGATGTCCAAGCCCCTCGCCCATAAAACCTCCCTTACCCCTTCCTTCCAACCTTTTCAAGGACGACCCCTACCCTGCCTTCCTTTTCCTACAGATTTATACGCTCTCCATGTCGTTCTACTTTGATCCATTCTCTCTAAATGACCAAACCACCTCAACAACCCCTCTTCAGCCCTCTGATTAATCTTTATTAAACTCCACACCTTCTCCTAATTTCCACACTCTAAATTTATCTGCATAATATTTTATCACCATACATTGCCCTTAGACAGTGACATCTCCACTGCCTCCAACCGCCTCCCTCGGTGTCTAATTCACAACCCACTTCTCACCCAATACATAATGGAAGATGCAAGCTCACGAGAAAACAAACTGGTTGGCGCAGTGCTGTATTAAAATACAGGGACCTATAGAGATTTTGGTCATAATTTAAATTCCATTAGCAGAACACCATGAAGCAGGGCCCTACTGTGATATTACAAAGTTTTCAACACCAGCAATCTCCCATCAGGAGGTGACTCAAATAAAAAAAGGTTTCTATCTTATTAATACAGAAATTTATACAGAAGTGGGTGGTACTATTCCATGAATGCTCAGTAATTATGCCTTAACCCATAAACGGGCCCATATGTATATATATCATTTTTCAACATCCACAATATTTGCATCAAAGAGTGTAAAGAACTCAAAATAATGAAAAAAGAGATTATCTTTTTTCATTTAGTATATATTACAATAGGGTTAGAGTACTATATCACATGAATGGCTCAAAATTTGCCTTAATAACCAAACGCCCTATGTTAACAGTCACTACCCTGCACAATTTTGAAATAAAAAAATATTTTTTAATGAAATAAAAGTACATTTTTTTCAATTTTATATGATTAAATAAAAATTAAGTCTTACTTTACTGAGAATAGGCTGCAAAAGTTGCATATACTCACTGATGGTAAAGTCCTCGCTTGTGAGTTTGCCGATATACATTTTTTCTCATTTTTACATTATTTTATATAATTTTTATGTTCTGATAATTACAATTTATTGTAGTTCTTGTTATTTCATAATCAATCTTTGTTCTCACACTAATATTAGGTACTGAAATTGTACTCAAATTGTCACAAACACATTGACAGGTGGACATTTACACCTTCCTTGGTCATTTACTATTGTCTAGGAATATATACAAAGTATTTTTAGGTCCCAGAAATGTTTTGGATACACGGGAGTATAGAAGAAGAAGGAAGGAGGAGGAGGAAGGAAGAAGGAAGAAGTAAGAAATTCCCTTGAAGCAATGTGTAAGACAAGTGTTCGGTGACAAGCATCCAGGAGGGCAGATATGAGATGACATTTGATGAACTCCAGAGAGGGTGCAGAGATAAGATGAGATAAGGTATGACATTTGATGGGTGCCAGCAGGGTGCAGAAATAAGGGATGACATTTGATGAGCTCCTATCTCTGATTATCTGTCTCTGTCTTATTTCTCTGTCTGCTTGTCTCTCTCTGTCTGTCTCAGAGAGAGCCACTGTGAATCAACAGGTATTCTTATGCATTATATCTACAAGCACAGTATAGCACTTCAGATTTTTTAGGTTATCCTAGGTAATTTGCAGTCTAATTGTATTTGTGTGTACTTGTGAGACAGATAGACAGAGACAGATACAGATAGAGACAGACAGACAGACCCTAAACTTGGGGTTAACATCACTTTCCTCTTAACCCTTTCAGGGTTGCCAGGCCCTCTCCGAGACTTGTTCTCAGGGTCGCCAAATCCCCCCCCCCCCCCAAAAAAAAAAAAAAAAAAATATGAAAAGATAGAGAATCTTTTTCTGATCACAGTGACACCAAAAATATGAAATTTGGTGGAAAACTTACAGAATTACGCTCTCAAGAAGTTAGCGGTCTCAACGATGTTTACGCATCGGTGATTTTGCTCACTTTGAGCCCCATTTTCGGCCAATTTCACTGTACTAGTCGACAAAAATCATAACTACTATTTGGCTAGGACTCCATTTTTGTCTATCGAATGAGTACAAGAAACCACCCATTTACTGATTTCAACTATCCAATAAAGTGGTCAGAATTTAGCAATTTTGCCAATTTCACACAAATTTCAAAAGATGCCAATTTCCGAATAGGGTCCAGAATAAACAAGAAAGACATTCCTGGCACTAAAATAACACTCCCTCTGTTCATTAGTCACATCTCCACACCCTCTTACATTCTTTTGCTTTCCACTTTGAATTTTTATTCTCACAAAAAATAGAAGATTTACTGTTATGCAGGCTACTGCATTAGTGTAGAAATGGTATAAATAATATTAGCGTACTTGTGAAAGATTTACCAGCTGACGTGTAACATGATTTGTTTCCTTTTGAACTTTGGTGAAAATCCAACATTTCTGCTACTTTGAGCTCAATTTCAAGGTACTTTTCATTGTAAAACCAGTTAATATCATCTTGATTTCTGTAATATGTCTTCCATTCTATAAAATGAAACCAGGAAAATTAGAATACAACAATAAATACCACACGAAAGTACAGTGCAAAGTTGCTGTTTTAATCCAAAAACATGGTCAGTTTTTTTCTCATTACGCACTGTGTGCTGCAGGATTTTTTTTATACTGCGGACACTGACCACATAGACCCATTCTTTCATATGTAGGCCTACCAGCTTTCTCTCACTTGATTTGAGGGCGCTAGAATTTAGGCGTACTAGTACGCCAAAAACCCTGGTGTCTAAGCCGTACTAGTACGTCCGAAACCCTGAAAGTGTTAAAAGGGGTGTTAATATGACATTACATAAGAGAACCCTTGGTGTTTGCCCCACTGTTTGCTCTAGCTGGCGCTCAATATAACTGGCGCTCCCACAAGGTACTAAGTGGTCCCAGATTTTTTTAATATGGTGCACATTGAGTGTTGAGACCCATTCTATGCTGACCAGGCATCTCAGGCCAATTGTGCCAAATCTGGAGGCAGGAAAAATAAAACGTATACAGTGGACCCCCGGTTAACGATATTTTTTCACTCCAGAAGTATGTTCAGGTGCCAGTACTGACCGAATTTGTTCCCATAAGAAATATTGTGAAGTAGATTAGTCCATTTCAGACCCCCAAACATACATGTACAAATGCACTTACATAAATACACTTACATAATTGGTCGCATTCGGAGGTAATCGTTATGCGGGGGTCCACTGTATTTACATTTCGGGCACTAGCGGTAAGAACGTATATATACGTTTGAACCATTTACGGGTTAAACTAAATTTTTGCTGTATTAGTAATAAATATTGAACTGGAGGAAATTAAAAGCATATTTACAGACTGTTATTTATACATAATCTTTTATAAACATCGAGATGTGATTAAATTGTTTCTTGTTCAGTTTCATGCTCTTCTGATACAATATTTGTATCACAAGTTTGATCATCCATTTCTTTTGCATCTGATTCAACATCATGAAGAGTGGTGCATTCTTCAGGTACTGCTGCTACTCCTGACTCTAGAAATTGCTTGGTGAATCTTCTCAACTTTAAGTTACTTAAGAAACGTAGTTCTCCTGTCCAGGACTTGAAAATTTCCAGGGCTTCTGGATTTAAGAAATCCACAGTTTCTAGAAGTAAAATAAAATTATATACATAAATGATTAAAGGATATGTATGTTCCCTCACAAAATGTGATAACCTAAGATTATTGACCCAAATCCTTAATTCTGCTTATTTTTATATAGTAATAGTCTGGATGCAGCAAAATTTCCCTGACTACAGCAACCAACATTAGCAGTGCTAAAGATACTGTGTGTTAGAGAAGAAGGCAAGGGCTGCATCCAAGCAGACGTACATTTTTTTTTTTTAATATACCAGCTGTCTCCCACCAAGGTAGTGAGACTCAAAAAAGAAGAAAAACTTTCACCATCATTCACTCCATAACTGTCTTGCCAGAGGGGTGACATTATTATAATCAAGGGGGAAGTGCTAAACCCCCTCCCTCCAACCTTCCCTAGGACAACCACTACTCTGTCTTCCCTCCACTATAGATTTCTATGTCCTCCAAGTCATCCTATTGTCTTCCATCCTCTCTCAATGTCCAAACCACCTCTTCAGCCCTCTGGATAATACTTTAGTAACTCAGCACCACCTAATTTCCAAGCTACAAATTCTCTGCATAATAATCACGTCACACATTGCTGTCAGACACAACATCTCCACTGATCCAGCCTCCTCTGTGCTGCAACATTCACAACCAATGCTTCACACTATATAGGAGCATTGGTACTCTCAAACAGTCCCCTTTTTGCTTCCATGGATAACATTCTTTGTCTCCACAGATTCAAAAAAAAAAAAAAGCACCACTCACCTTTTTCCCCCTCATCAATTCAATGGTTCACCTTAGTCTTTCATAGACCCATCTACTGACAAGTTCACTCCCAGATATCTGAATACATTCACTTCTTCCATACTTCCTCCCTCCAGTTTTTCATTACCTAAATTTTTTTTTATCCTCATCACCTTGCTCTTTCCTACATTCACTTTTAATTTCCTTCTTTTACATATCCTCCCAAACTTGTCCACCAACCTCTGCAACTTCTCTTCAGAATCTCCCAAAAGCACAGTGTCATCAGCATAAAGCAACTGTGGCACTCCCACACATTTTTCCAAACACCTCTGCATTCACTTCTCTTACAACACCATCTATAAATATATTTAACAATGACAGTGACATTATGCACCTCTGTCTAAGGCCTACTTTTACTGGAAAATGATCACCCTCTCTCCTATATATCCTAACATGAGGCACACTATCCCTGTAAAAACTCTTAACTGCTTTCAGTAACCTACCACCTATTCCATTCACTTAAAATATCTGCCACATAGCTTCCCTATCTATACACAAATAACCCGCACATAAAAGAGAGAAGCTTAGGACGACGTTTCGGTCCGACTTGGACCATTGACAAAGTCACACAGTGTGACTTTGTCAATGGTCCAAGTTGGACCGAAACGTCGTCGTAAGCTTCTCTCTTTTATGTGCAGGTTATTTGTGTATCGTTCCAGTCACGGTATTGTGCCTTTTTTTGTTATTCCCTATCTACCCTAGGGTTGATAAATCATTTACATAATGTTAGGTAAAAGGGCACAAGTGTAACTAATGTGACATTTTACTGTGCCAATGTTTCACTCTCCAGGAGCTGTCAAGCCTGGAGACCAAAATATTGCCACAATAAAATGTCACATTAGTTGCACTTGTGTCCTTTTACCTGACATACTGTCGGTAATTCAACCAACATTAATATATCTACATAATAAATTAATGAGTCCATTGCTAATCATTAACACTTAACATCTTCAAGTAGAAAGCATTTCTTAACCCTTAAACTGTCCAAACGTAGATCTACATTCACTCGCGTGGCGCTCCGAATATTTTGAAAAATAATTTTTTTTTTTTAAATGAAGAGCACATTTTTCTACATGTTATAGGATAAAAAAAAAATTTAGGGTCAGTACTGACCGAGGTATAAGACCGTGAAGTTGGCTCTGGATGCTCACCCGACGGCAACATCAACTCCTGCTGCATGCCGAAGTGTTGCCGATATACCTTTTTTTCTCGTTTTTATTTTAATTTGTATATTTTTTATGTTCTGATCATTACAATTTATAATAGTTCTTGTAATTTCATAGCCAAACTTTGTTCTGACACTAATATTAAGTACTGAAATAGTACTCAAATAGTAACAACCACATTGACAGGTGAACATTTACACCTGCTTGAGTTATTTACTATTGTCTAGAAATATATGCAAAGTATTTATAGGTCCCAGCAATGTTTTATATACTCTGGCATATACCTTGAAGCATGTTGTTATGAAAGGCATCCCTATACTGCTGACAGCCCAGTGACATTTGATAAATGCCCACTGCTCCAGCTAACCCTTGATGCATTTGTTATCACTGTTACACACAAACATGTCTTGTCTCTCTCTCTGTCTGTCTGTCTATCTGCCTGTTTGTCTCTGCTTATGTCTCTGTCTATCTGCTTGTCTGTCTGTCTCTGCTTATCTGTCTTTCTGTCTGCCTGCAGTATACATATATGAAACTCTCCTTGAAGAATGGTGTTATGACAGCTGTTATCAGCTTAGTGACATTTGATAAATGGGCGCTTGGGGGAACCCTGGCTTTATTTGTTTTCACTGATACACACAAACATGTTTGTCCATCTGTCTGTCTATCTACCTGTCCATCTATCTTTCCCTGGAATTTTTGGGTTATCCTAGGTAATTTACACTATGCATAATAACTGTACTTATGTGTATATGTGAGACAGAGATATAGATAGACTGAGATATAGATAGATAGATAGAGATCTAGATAGATAGAAATATAGACAGAGAGACAGCCAAAGCAAGCCAGGCAGCCAGCCAGCCTGCCGAATAAGAACACCGCAGCAGGCCTACTGGCCCATGCAAGGCAGGTCCATGTCGCCCTCCCCCCCTGGCTTAGACCAATAACCCACCTAGTCAGGTCACATCCACTGAAGGAAGGAGCATGACATCAGACCTAGTAGCACAAGCTGGTCAGGTCCAGCTCACACCCACCTACACTCACTCATGTATTTATCTAACCTATCTTTACTTTTCTCTTAAAATGGGAGTGTTAATGCGACATGGCATCAGTGAATCCCCGGTGTTTGCCACGCTATTTGTTCTAGCTGATGCTCCCACAAGGTACTAAGTGCTCCCAGATTTTTTTAATACTGTGCATACTAAGTGCAAAGACCAATTCTTTCATATCTAGGCGACTCAAGCCTAGTGTGCCAAATTTGAAGGAATGAAAAATAAAACGTTGATCTATGTTCAGAGTGCTATGTGTGCAAACGGAGATCTACGCTTGGACAGTTTAGGGGTTAATGATCAATTACCTAAATTTTCACCAAAGTTTATATTTAAAAATTTTAACAATAAATGATGAAATATAAAAAAATAATCTTACCAAACCCAGAGCCAGTAAATTGCTTTATCTCTCTCTCATGTGTGATTCTTATGTGATCCTCTCTGGAAGCATGCTGCCGAGATGTTCGACCACCGATCTTGTGCTTTAGCTGTATTTGTTCAAACTCCACAAGATTGCGATCTATATATCTGAAAAAATAAATGTGAAATTTTATTAGGTACATGCTTACCTGGTCTGCCTGGTCATAGCAGCAGGGATCATTGTCCAGTCTCAAGCCAGGATGACAGCTTGTTTAATTTGACCATTGGTGCTATCTCAAGAGAGGGGTTTTGATGCTGGTAAAAAGTTCTTTCCTAGGTAGTAGGTTGGTAAACAGCAACAGCCCAGGGAGGTACTACCGTCCTGCCAAGTGAGTGTACAACGAAAACCTGTAATTGTTTTACATGATGGTAGGATTGCTGGTGTCTTTTGTCTGTCTCATAAACATGCAAGATTTCAGGTATGTCTTGCTACTTCTACTTGCACTTAGGTCACACTACACATACATGTACAAGCATATACATGTATATACACACCCCTCTGGGTATTCTTCTATTTTCTTTCTAGTTCTTGTTCTTGTTTATTTCCTCTTATCTCCATGAGGAAGTGGAACAGAATTCTTCCTCCGTAAGCCATGCGTGTTGTAAGAGGCGACTAAAATGCTGGGAGCAAGGGGCTAGTAACCCCTTCTCCCGTATAAATTACTAAATTTAAAAGAGAAACTTTCGTTTTTCTTTTTGAGCCACCTTGCCTTGGTGGGATACGGCCGGTGTGTTGAAAGAAAGAAGAAGAAAAAGTTCTTTAAAAAAAAAAAAAAAAAAAAAAAGGAACTGAAACTAGCTTCCCCTTCCTTGGATTAACCTTAATCACCTCCCATTTCCCAGGTACTATACAATACCTAGGAGTTTAGTGCTTCCCCATATTATCAATCATCATGATGACATAATAATAATCTCATCTATACTCACATACAATATGTATATACAGTAGGGCCCCCCCTTATATGGCAGGGTAGGTTCCAGGCTACTGCCGGAAAGCAGACATTGCTGGAAAGCAGAACCCCATTTTTTCCACTTATAAATGACAGATAACAAGTTTACACTAGCATATATTAACCCTTTCAGGCTCTGTCCTGTAGAAACACGGCTTTGAAGCCAGGGTCCAAACCGTAGAGCTACACCATGAGCTCAGCTCACTCAGAAAACCTGTGAATGGTAAATTTGGGCCTAGATCTGAGAGAACACACATGCGATGTATGTTCAATAATAATCACTCTTGGGTACATTAAATGTCTTATTTTAGGTTAATACAGTGGACCCCCGCATACCGATTTTAATCCGTGCAAGAGGGGTCATTGTTATGCGAAATAATCGGTATGCGAATGAATTTTCCCATAAGAAATAATGGAAATCAAATTAATCCATGCAAGACACCCAAAAGTATGAAAAAAAAATTTTTACCACATGAAATATACATTTTCCCACACACAAAGAGAAGGATACATGCACAATAGTAGAGTAGTACATGCACAGTATATATTGTGCATGTACTAGTCTACTAAATGAAGAATAAATGACACTTACCTTTATTGAAGATGCAGCAATGACTGATGAGACACTGTGTCCTGGGAGTGCCTTTTCCTCCTGAGTACTGTAGGTCCTGTTTGGCATTTTCTTCCAGAACAGGCCTTATCACACTGTGTATGCCACTACGATTCTTAAATCTCTCAAACCAACCTTTGCTGGCTTTAAATTCACCAATATGAGCACTAGTTCCAGGCATTTTTCCCTGTTCACCTGGGTGTTAGTCGACTTGTGTGGGTTGCATCCTGGGAGACAAGATTAAGGACCCCAATGGAAATAAGTTAGACAGTCTTCGATGACACTAACTTTTTTGGGTTATCCTGGGTGGCAAATCCTCTGGGGTTAATTGTTTCTTGGTATTCTCAATAAGCCACACCAACAACGGTGCTACAGCAGCAGCAGCAGCTGACGGTGGTACAGCAGCAACAGACGATGCTACAGCAGCAGCAGACGATGCTACAGCAGCAACAGACGATGTTACAGCAGCAGCAGACGATGCTACAGCAGCAGCAGCAGCTGACGGTGGTACAGCAGCAACAGACGATGTTACAGCAGCAGCAGACGATGCTACAGCAGCAGCAGCAGCTGACGGTGGTACAGCAGCAACAGACGATGTTACAGCAGCAGCAGACGATGCTACAGCAGCAGCAGCAGCTGACGGTGGTACAGCAGCAACAGACGATGCTACAGCAGCAGCAGACGATGCTACAGCAGCAACAGACGATGTTACAGCAGCAGCAGACGATGCTACAGCAGCAGCAGCAGCTGACGGTGGTACAGCAGCAACAGACGATGTTACAGCAGCAGCAGACGATGCTACAGCAGCAGCAGCAGCTGACGGTGGTACAGCAGCAACAGACGATGTTACAGCAGCAGCAGACGATGCTAACAGCAGCAGCAGCAGCTGACGGTGGTACAGCAGCAACAGACGATGCTACAGCAGCAGCAGACGATGCTACAGCAGCAACAGACGATGTTACAGCAGCAGCAGACGATGCTACAGCAGCAGCAGCAGCTGACGGTGGTACAGCAGCAACAGACGATGTTACAGCAGCAGCAGACGATGCTACAGCAGCAGCAGCAGCAGCTGACGGTGGTACAGCAGCAACAGACGATGCTACAGCAGCAACAGACGATGTTACAGCAGCAGCAGACGATGCTACAGCAGCAGCAGCAGCAGCAGCTGTACCACCAATAGTAGCGATGGTTGATTGGGGTTTATTATACAACCTGGCCAGCTCGGAGACACGCACTCCACTTTCATACTTATCAATGATCTTTTTCTTCATCTCTATTGTAATTCTCACCCTTATTGCTGTAGGGTTGGCACTAGAAGCTTTCTTGGGGCCCATGGTCACTTATTTTCCAGAAAAAGCACCGAAAACACTGTAATAATACGAAATATTCCGATTGTATGCTTGGATGTTACTGCGGAGGCTGGCTGGTAAACAATGCCACCGGCGGAACATGTGAGCATGGCTCAAGCCGCACATTGGACGCGTCTCGGACGAAAATCGGTGAGCGGGTTTTTAAGCGGTATGCGATGCAAAATTTTTGCGATTAAAGCAAGCGGTATGCGGATTAATCGTTATGTGATGCCATCGGTATGCGGGGGTCCACTGTATAGACATTTTCATTAATCCATCTATGATATTTTCTTCAAAATTATATACGAAACACGTTACATATCATATAGTGTTGAGTTGGGTGGAATAAAAACATTACGTTTTCTCTGATTCAGCGTTAGAGAAAACTGTGAATCTGGCGTCTGGCCCAGTCACCGCCCTTCATACACGTTTGTTTACAATTCTCGGCATGAATTATTCATTATTTCTCCCTTTGTTTATGATGGCATAAAAAGGTAGTTGTTAGAAACAATTAAACTCAGTGAATATGGTAATAATATGGCAGCGTAGTGTAGCCCAGGGAGGCTACATACATGTACCTACATCTACCGCTGCCTACACTGACTTCCTACAAATAAATACTACTCACCTCTTGCCCTACATTAAGACTACAAATATTTTAAGGTAAGTAATGAATGTACTGTGGTAGTAAATGGCAAAGAAGGGAAGTAACCCTAGAGAGGGTTTTGATACCTGAAGTCCTAATGGAGGGGGATTCCCAACTCCCTCTCTGTTCTGAACTGCCTCGTTTTTTGACGACTCTTTGGACACTCCTGATGCCCCTGTACCTCTTGCTGGTGCTGTTACATCACCAGCTTCAGGTACCGGGGTCTCGAGTGACTCCTTTGATATGTCTGACCTCCGCCCTCCTTTGACTATGCTTTCGGCCTCTCCCTCTACGGTGCGGTAATTTTCGAGTCACCAGCCCGTTCCACATCAGACCAACTCTGGTCCCACTTCTAAATGCCAACGACAATCTCCTGATGATGTTACTTCGTTACCTTCCCATTCTACTCGGAAAAGACTGACACATCATGTACTCCCTCTCCACGCTCAGTTTTGGACCACACAATGGACTAAATTCTTTACTTTACGACCAAGTTCTTCTATTGCCTCTCTTTCTGACCATAGTATTTTCAAAGCGCTCCTATGCCATGTTGGTAGAGATATTTCATTTCATGCTCTCAAGAGCGGTACACGCATCGTCACTGTCCAGAATGCTACCCAGGCTCATGATCTTTCTCTCCTTTCACATATCGATACTATTCCTATCACTATTGAAAAACATCATTCTCTCAATTCTTGTAGTGGTACTGTCATTCTGCCCCATACCATAGTCCAACAGAATTTCCAGACATGTGGCAATGACATTCTTGAACAGCTGGAACTCCAGGATCTCCCAATCCTCAAAGTAGACACTTATGTCCTTCCTGCCCGCGGGTGGAGACGATACCCTTGCAATGTGGCTCGATTAACTTTCGACAGCCGTGAACTCCCATCCTCTGTTTATGTCGCAGGACATTGGTTACAAGTTTGAAAGGTGATCCCTACACCGCAACAGTGTAGAAATTGCTGCCGTTTTGGTCACCCAGCGAAATATTGCAGATCTATAGCTGAATGCCCAGTCTGTGGTGCCGACGACCATTCTAATACGTCTTGCAGTCGACCTCCCTCTTGCCTTAATTGTCATGAGGCTCACCCTTCGTACTCTCACCGTTGCCAGGTCTACTTAAATGAGCGTGAAATCCGTTGCCTCAAAGAAGCAGAAGGTCTCCCTTATGCTATGGCAGTTTCTCATCTCCGCCTCCAAGGGAGACTACCCCGTGTTTCGTATTCTCGTGTTTCAAAACGTCCCCCCACTTCTGGGGTCCCATCTTCTGCAGCCTCCTCTGTTGTTACCCCTCCCATAGTCACTCCTGTATCTAATTCTTTTGCTGTCCTGGGCTCAGACGTCCCTACTTCAACACCTCAGTCTGTTCTGACATCTTCGAGTTCTCACTCACAAGCTCTGGTATCGACAAGATCTCGTACGACACCTACCAATCGCCCCTCTACTTTTCAGAAGTCCAAAAAATCCCCTTTGCTCAAATCTTCCTTGCCCCCTCCTTCCCTTCTTCCACCCCCACATTTTACCTTTCCAGTCTCTGTACCTGGTTCTTC